CCAGCTTTTTGAAATCTGCATTCATCATCCATTCAGATTTTTTCCACCTAAAAACTTGTCCTAAATGCCGACAAAACCAAAGGGATGCTTTTTTCAAACAGGAAGTCGGTCCCAGCAGTTCTTCCTCTGATTTTATCCTCAAATGGTGTCCCCATTGAGTTTGTTGATTCCTATAAATATTTGGGTATCTTGGTCGACTCACATCTCTCTTTTAAGTTCCATGTGGAAAACTTGGTAAAGAAACTGAAAGTTAAACTGGGTTTCTTTTTCAGAAACAGATCCTGTCTAACCCTGAATGCTAGGAAACGCCTTGTATCTGTGACTTTCCTTCTCTCCATTGATTATGGTGACATTATTTACATGAACGCTCCTACAAGAACCTGCAGATGTTGGATGCTGTCTATCATGGTGCACTAAGATTCATAACTGGCTGTGATTATCGTACCCACCACTGCACAATGTATTCACTGGTTAACTGGACATCATTAACTTCACGCAGACTCTCTCACTGGTACATTTTCATCTTTAAATCACTTCTTGGTCTGCTGCCTTCATACATCTCCTCCTACATGTCTCTGCGTGAGTGCAGCTACAGCGTGCGCTCTCAGGACATTATTACCTGCAGTGTTCCCTCAGTGCGGACTGAACTTGGCAAAAGGGTCTTCTACTACTCCGCTCTCATTTCCTGGAATATCTTACAAAAAGATCTGAAGCTCTCGACCTTGACCTAAGTGGCTTTACACATCTGTTGGACTCCTGGCAGGGACCAATGCAGACATGTTCCTGTTTTTAGTTTTCTACATTCGCCTTATAATCCATCTGTTTTTGTTACTCTTTTTGCCATCTTATTTGTAAAAAAAATAAAATAAAAAATAATAATAATAATCTGTATGACTTTTTATAACTGTCCATTGTTGTCATCATTCTTTGTTGAAATCAGGTCTCTTGTAAATTAGTCCTCGAGGCTCAATGGGATTTACTTGTCTAAATAAAGGTTGAATGAACTTGAACAGACACCCAGCTGTCTGTGTGCTCATTTCACTTTGTTGACAAATGGCCAATGGAGGAGAACCTGCATCCTATTTTATGGCTGTGCTACAATAAACCACCGGAGAAGAGACACTGGATCCTCAGAAGGATTGAAAACAGTGACGAGAACATCAGGTATGACTTCAAGTGTACGGAGGGCACAACAACAAAAGTTAAGTCTTCGGTGTTACAATTTTCTCTGTATCAAAGTTCATGCTCAATAATCCAAGTAAAAAAAAATCCAACAAAGTTTAGTCAGGTCATCTGGACGGTTAATTTTCTTCTTGAGACGTTTCGTCCTTCATCCAAAGGACTTCATCTGCCCAAGGAGCCACAACAAGCACAGTCCCACAAGCAGCACACTACCATAAAGGACCAACAAGTTTGATGGTGATAAGATGGTTTCTGGGGCCCACCCTCCCCCCACCCCAGTCGACTCCTCTGAGGCAGCCATAGCCAAAGTGGTTAAAAACATCAAAGTTCATGAGCAAAAATCCAGGTAAAACATCCAACAAAATTCAGTCAGGTCATCTGGATGGTTTCTCTCTGGATGGAGTTGACTGGCGAGAGGGCGGACTCCAGAAACCATCTTCTCACCAGCAAACTGATTTGCCCACTGTGACTGTGCTGCTTGTGGGACTGAGCTTGTTGTGGCTCCTCGGGCCTGATGAAGTCCTTTGGATAAAGGACGAAACGTCTCAAGCAAAAATGAAACTGTCTAGATGACCTGATTGAAGTTTGTTGGATTTTCTCTACAATTAACCCAAGCTTGATGATGGAGGACTTTAATACTTTGACTGGTCTGTCCTTCTGCTTTAAGGTAAATAAGGCTGTGTCCCACCTCTTAATAAAACACGACCATATTATTACTGTGTAGATTCAGAGCTTTCAGGTTGTTCATCACTTCACCGTTGGAAGCAGCAGATATAATCTGCGGCCACTTCTTCAGATCGTCCTACATCCCTCATCAAAGCAGGCAGCTGTATGATTATATTGTCCTGTTTGAGCTCTGACAGGTGGTGTTCCTACACGTTTAAATTAAATCCAAAATGCTCAGAGAAACTACATTATCTCGTGCTGTTTGCACATCAACAAACGCTGGTTTCGGTCTGTGCCGTAAGTTGCGCCCGTAATTCACGCAAGGCACCATGGGGGCTAGGAATAAGGTGGATAATGTATACATTACAAAATACAGATAAAGTAAAAAATAAATAAATAAATAAATCACGCATTACATCCTTTACAAAATACAGTGGTGGAGAAAGTACTTAAACACTTTACTTAAGTAAAAGTACAAATAAACAGACAAAAATGTACGCTAGTAAAAGTAGAAGTACCACATTAACATTTTTACTTAAGTAAAAGTAAACAAGTACTTGCTTTTAAAATACTTAAAGTATTAAAAGTAAAAGTACTTGCTGAATGTATTACCTAATGCAATGGTCTACATATCTTTAAGTCTGTGTACCATATGTATATTTTCTGTAATACATTAATAGTGTTGTTCCATTTTAATGAACGATGCTGCAGATAATACATGTTTTTATTGTGTTTACTCTGTGACACAGTTCAACTTGGACTTGTGATTCTGTGCGTCAGAGTTTCAGGGATTACCTGCAGAGTTAAATGTCATGAAACAAAACAAGAGAGGAATGAATATACCTTTGAAAGTTTTTATTTAACACAAATCAAAACCATTGTGTCATTTTAACTGCAGTAAAATATTTAAGTAAAAGTTGTTTGCCTGATCAAAAGGAGCATTAGACACAACTAACAAAGGAACAGGCTCTGATGAAGTCCCCAGCAGAACAAGGGCGTCCCCAGGAGGCGCACTCTCCAGTACCCCCTCCAAGGACTCAAAAAGGGTGGGTAATCTGAGCTGCTGTTTGGTGCATAAGCACAAACAAGTCAGAACCCGTACCCCCACACGTAGGCAGAGGGAGTCTACTCTCTCGTTCACTGGGGTGAACCCCAACGTACAGGCACCAAGACGGGGTGCAAAAAGTATGCCCACTCCTGCTCGGCGCCTCTCACCAGGGCCAACTCCAGAGTGGAAGAGTGTCCAACCCCTCTCAAGGAACTTGGTTCCAGATAGGATACAGTATATATATATATAGAGAGAGAGTGTACCTGGAGAAAACCCACACATGCAGAGAGAGAACATGCAAACTCCACCCAGAAGGGCACCTGGACCTAGATTTGAACCAGGGACCTGTTCGTTGAGAGGCAGCAGCTCTACCAGTTGTGCCACTATGCTGCCTTGCTTTCTTTTTTATCTAAAATAAAATTGCCTTGTTCTATATTTTTCCAAATAATTTTGCTTGAAAATATTTTTGTTCATCTGTACAATAGCCTATCTTTAGAGTTGATTTCTAAGGCTTTTTGTTTTGAATGTTAATATCGATTTATTGACTTGTTTGGTGACCTGGCAGGTATTATCATTTCACCCAGAAGAAAATGACTGGTAGAAATTAATTAGGTTAATCAGTTTAGAAATTAATCATTAATACTTTTCAGCTTCTAAAGGCTGAAAGGCTTTTTAATCATTAACATTCAAAACTTTTCATATTTAAAGGCTACATTTGTTAATTTCAAAGATTTGTTAGATCTTCAACTGGAAAAGGTCAAATTAATATTAGTCCAAAAACTTACTTTTTAAAGTTCTTCTCCTCACCTTCACGATACAATATGTATGAAGCTGCATTTATAAAACTTGGTTTTCCTTGTAAATGGAAGAACAAAATAACCCTCAAGTTAATGGGAACTTTAACTCAAGAAACTGCTAAAACTTAAAATAAAACTTAAAAGGACTGTTAAGCTTAAGAAAAGACACATTTGTCCTACTTCTGGTACATTTATTTTGTATATTTTGTTGTTTTGTTTTAAAGACCCGATTCTGCAGTGGAATTAATTTTTTAAAGAACTAAAGCTTCAACATCCATTAGAGTGAACAGGTCTTAAATTGGATGTCAAATTAACAGGGCCGAGATGGGATAGAGGCAGTGCAGCTGATCCGGGACCAGAAAGCCGTAGCTCGACTCCCAGCCATTCCCACATCTCATGGTGTCTCTGAGGAGGACACCCAATCCCCAATTGCTGCCTGTGTGCCCACCTAGCCACCCACTGCTCCACCTGAGTGCATCTTAGGTGTGATGGGTTAATAATAATAATAATGCATTTTATTTGTTAGCACCTTTCAAGACACTTCACATTAAAAACACAAAATAAAACAATACAAAATGGCTATAAAAACACTAAATCAAGAAGAAAATGACAACCAATTAAAGTGAGAAGGCTAACTTGAACAGATGAGTTGTGATTTGAAGGTCAGAAGAGAGCCATCATTACAGATGTCTGGGGGAAGGGTGTTCCAGAGTTGGGGAGCAGAGAGAGAAAAGGCTCTGTGTCCCATGGTGTCCCATGGAAATTACAAGAGACACGTTGAGGTGGATGGAAGAGGAATGAGGGAGCGTGAATGGGTGATAATGTGCACGAGATCAGACAGGGAGAAGTGAAGTTATAGATGGCCTTGAACGTGTACAACAGGGTTTTAAATTGAATTCTGAATGTGACTGGAAGCCAGTGAAATTGCTGAAGAACTGGGGTGATGTGGTGAAATGAGGGGGGTTTGGTAATGATGCAGGCAGCTGAATTTGAACCATTTGAAGCTCACGGAGCAATTTGTGCAGTAGACCAGAGGAGAGCTGCAGTAATCAAATAAAAAAATAAAAAAAAAGACCAAACTATGGACCACAATTCATTCATTCATATACAAATGAGTTTAATAAATGATAGTGGTGGAAACAAAAAATAAACTAAAAAATAAACAGGACTAATTTTCAGCAGTGTAGAAATGATTGAAGGAAATGAGTTTAGTGTGTAAAGATGAGGACAGACATGAACATGGTGGATGTGAAGGATCGCTGCTCCTTGCAGACTCGGTGTGTGGCTCTTAAAAGAGCCGTTGTGGGTCTCGGCGGGCGTCTACTTGGACTTGGCGGGCTTCTCGGTCTTCTTGGGCAGCAGGACCGCCTGGATGTTGGGCAGCACTCCGCCCTGAGCGATGGTCACTCCTCCCAGCAGCTTGTTGAGCTCCTCGTCGTTGCGGACAGCCAGCTGCAGGTGACGGGGGATGATCCTGGTCTTCTTGTTGTCCCGGGCAGCGTTCCCAGCCAGCTCCAGGATCTCAGCGGTCAGATACTCCAGCACAGCCGCCAGGTAGACGGGGGCTCCGGCACCGACACGCTCCGCGTAGTTCCCTTTGCGCAGCAGCCTGTGAACACGGCCCACTGGGAACTGGAGTCCGGCTCGGGACGAGCGGGTCTTTGCCTTGGCTCTGGCTTTACCGCCGGTTTTTCCTCTTCCACTCATGGTTCAAGTTTCTCTGTTCTCAGACTGAGGAGAAATGGTGTCGGTCGGAGCTGCCGAGAGCTTCTTAAATGTAAGAGCGCGCGGGCTGCTTGCTGCCAGACCAATCAGACAGCTGTCATCCAGCAGAGGAGCTGCTTCATTTGGAACGGATCTTTTCTCCAATCAGCAGCGCTCCTTCAGGCGGGAGCCCCGGGAGGAGCCGCTCCTCTGGGCGGAGCTGAGCTCCGAGAGGAGCCGCTCACCAATCAGGAGGAAACATGTCGAGCAGCGTCACCGTTTCTCAGCTGCTCCCACACTTTAAGAGCAGCGACTCTCCTGTACTTCAAGAGTTTCTCCTCCGACGAGACAAACTAGAATCATGGCAAGAACCAAGCAGACCGCCCGTAAATCCACCGGAGGCAAAGCCCCCAGGAAGCAGCTGGCCACCAAGGCTGCCCGGAAGAGCGCCCCGGCCACCGGCGGCGTGAAGAAGCCTCACCGCTACAGGCCCGGTACCGTGGCTCTGAGAGAGATCCGCCGCTACCAGAAGTCCACGGAGCTGCTGATCCGCAAGCTGCCCTTCCAGCGCCTGGTGAGGGAGATCGCTCAGGACTTCAAGACCGACCTGCGCTTCCAGAGCTCGGCCGTCATGGCTCTGCAGGAGGCCAGCGAGGCTTACCTGGTGGGTCTGTTCGAGGACACCAACCTGTGCGCCATCCACGCCAAGAGGGTCACCATCATGCCCAAAGACATCCAGCTGGCCCGGAGGATCCGTGGAGAGAGAGCTTGAAGACCCCCCTGCTCACCAACAACCACAACGGCTCTTTTCAGAGCCCCCTCCCTCTTTACTAAAGATCTGATCTACTGCGTTTAAATTAAATCTTTCAGAGGACAAAGTTATGAACAATAATCAACCTGATCTCCTTCAAGTGGATCACAGAGATCACTTTAACAACAAAACCTAAAACAGGATTTATTCTCTGCTCTCCTGTCTTTAATCTTTTCAGATTAAGTTATTCCAGTGCTTTATGACTTGTGCCTGATTTTTAATGTAATTTTACCTCCACAACTCTAAATGTTTAGTTGACAACATTTTTAAACATCTTTACAAACCCAACTTTTTCTGCACGTGCGCACATCACAGCCGTTATAAACCCGGTCCTGTTCTCCCTGATCAGGAGAGAGGAGGAAATGTTGAAGGATCTATGATCGGAAACTATCACGTCTCAACAGAAATGGACATTAATCTTACAGATTAAATCCTAATTCTGCTTCCTGACCTTCTGGAATAAAATCGGGAAGTCAAACTCAAAACAAAGAAGCCTGTGATTAAAAATCTTGTTGGAAAATGTGAAGATGAAAAAACTTCTTAGGCTGCTGCTTTTTACATCTGAAGAGACTGAACTTCAACAAACACGAAGATCATTTAAAGAGTTACATCCTGCTGACTCTGCTCTCAGTCACGTGGTAACTGAAACACTTTGAACAGGAGCCATGACGTCACCGTTTCTAATCAACACGTTTCTTTCTCCATCCTCCTCTCTCCACCTGTAGGTGAGTGCGCGCAGAGAGGATGTGCAGCACGAGCCCTCCCCAAAACGTGCCCAGCCGAGTCCGTGCGTAAAGCGCCCTGCATGTCTGACCTGCAGCTCTTTCTCTCCGAGCCCCCCACGGAAACACTCGCGGGTGACCGACTTGACTCGTCTCCATGACGACCACAGCGCAGAGTACATGCACGCCCGCTTTCAGAGCTGCTCAGTTTATTCAGATATGAACAAGTGACGGCGTCACAGCAGGTTTTATGAAGGCTGATGTGGATTAGCTGTGACAGGCAACTTGATCTGGGCTGACTCTGAAATGTAATGAACTGCAGATGTAGTCTGTGCCTCACTGGCTGTGTTCAGTCCCACAGTCACTCCTGCTGACACTCATCTGAAATCACCCAAATTCTGCCTTGGAGTGCAAAATTACCCATCACTGAATCTGTGCGCCTGAGCCGCTGAACAGCAGAGAGAAAATAACTTCTGCTTCAAATCAAAGACTGAATTACAAATTGTAACAGATCAGAGATTACCAGAGAACACTGATAATTATCATTCTCTGTAAAGAACAGGCAGGATGGAGAGCTCATCCACATCCACACTCTCACAGTCACTGTCAGCTGCTGCTACAAGAGGCAGCCGTGTACACACAGTGGTGGGATGTAACTAGGTACAAGTACAACAAAGTCCATGCTCAATAATCCATGTATACAATGCAACATTTTTCAGTCAGGTCATCTGGACAGTTTCTTTTTTTGGGCTGAATTGTTTCGCCTTCAATCCGGAAGGCGAAACAATTCAGTCAAGGAAACACACAACAAAACGTTGGTTACGTACTGTAACCCCAGATTCTATGAATATAGGCGTAGCCCTTTAAGGCTGTCGCTGATGGTTTATCCCGTTATGCGCAGCATAAGCACTGAAAAAAAAATTAGTCCACGCCCACCTGCTGTGTGGGCCCCACCCGGTCCGTATAAATTACGTTAAGAGCGGGAAATCGGCTCCCAAAATAGCTTTTTTCTTCAGCCATTTAGGAGCCAGTGAGGCCCGACGCTTAAAGGGCTACGCCTATATTCATAGAATCTGGGGTTACAGTACGTAACCAACGTTCTATTTCATATAGGCTTCGCCCTTTAAGGCTGTCGCTGATGGTTTAAGGGCGAAGCGGATGTGGTCCTCGCCTCACTGGGTCCATTCGAACACAGTAAGAAGCGGAAGCTTGCCCAAAAAACGTCTTGTCACTCAGCTCCCCGTGTGCATAA